ATGCCATTGTCTTTTCGAAAGCTACTTAAGAATAGTTTTCTAATTGGATTTGTTCCATTTGGGGTGAATTTTGATGATTTCATTAAACCAGTACTTGAAGAAATAAAACGTTTAGAAAATGGCCTCATCATGTAAACAATATATGGTGATGCTTAGATTGTAGAGTATATTGGTTGCATTACGGCTGACCTGTCATAAGGTAATGACTTGGCAGGTGTGAAATGATATGGTGCTATCCATGGTTATCAAACGTGTAATATTACAAATGATCAACTTACTAACCCAAGTTATGACTATATGAGAAATGCGTGTTTTCATCATGATATAGAAGAATAATTTTTAGAGATTGATAGTCAATATACAAAAGCTGCTAAGAAACGACTAGCCACTAAATACATATTAGCAACATGATGACCTTTTGATTTACTTAAATGGGATCGATACATCCAGACACCACAGGATGCATACCATTCTATGGCTGGAAAAACACGTATTCTATTAAAAGCTACATTTAGCATACTCAATGTAACTGGCAAAAAGGCTTTTATAGAACATTGGAGAAATATCGAAAAATCATCCTGTATGCTGAATCTGTTGTGACATCGCCAAAGTTTTATGTTTTCCGATGTGTTGAGACTTACAATATTAATGCCATTTATAATTCGACATTTTTTAAAACCTTGCCATATAAAAGCGAAGGTCTTAAATAAATGGCATATAAAGCATGAAATGATACAAACTACATCTATATCTCAGTTGTGTATTGTCTGGTCTATTGAAGCTAAAGTATTGAAAATTGCATTTTCAGCTACTATAATGGAAAGAACTTATCATGAATTACAAGAATCACTTATGAGAGAATATGAAATGCTAATACTAGTAAGTTGAGATTATGTTTTATAAATTGTAATAATTTTACTAATATGTGTCTTAGTTATTTTCAGAGAATTTTGAAAACTTACCTAATTTGCATGTAAATGTTTACCTTCCACAGCATGCTCGTAATTTCAGAACACTTGTAAATATGGCTGTTAGCATGAAAAAAATGGTTCATTGCACATTCAAGGGTATGGTATCACACACAAATCATAAAGTAATTAAATTGGATCTTACCCGAAGGTATAACACAATACAGGCATTAAGACACATTATCGATGGTTTAACAGATTCTCATTTTAACACAAATACTAATACATTTAATAATTTGATTATGTATCTAAACCTTTGCCCAATATTATCAGACTGGTATGTTACAGAAAATCCACATACATTTATGAGTGAACAGAAATAAGATGAAAATGATGGTAAGTTTCTTTTATTCATTAATAAAATTGTTTTGTTTTACTAATTTATGAGATTTTTTTCAATAAATGTCAAAATTATTGCATTTCAAGATAAAAATTTTATTAATATTACACTTAGCAATCAATGGACTATCAAAAAAATTAAAAGCATGGGTCTATCAAAAAGATTAGATGATAAATATCCACTTTTTCAGAATCTTTCTAGATCATATTTGGAGCATTTTGAATCAAAAGCTGCATTATTGAATAGAAAGGTGGATTTTTATAATTCTATTACATATACTATTATTGAAGATAAACAGGATCCTATTCGACTAAAAGTTCATGTTGGTGATATTGTAGAATTATCTAAAGAATCTGAAGGTATTGCTTATGCTAAAATTAACTTGATTTTTTGATACCAAGCAAATAACAATCAATATTATGCATTTTTTATTTGATTTGTTTCAAGCAATAAATACCATTGATCCTATATTAGAATGTTTACTTTATAATATTCAAAAACCTAAGGAATCGTAATAGTTACGCATTTTTCCAATTAATTATATTGATCACATTTCACATGTATATTTTATACATAGATATGAAAGGAATTGTGATATCAAGCATGATGAAACCAATAGATGTTATATTTTTAATAAGTTTTATTATAATGCAATATAGAGTTGGGATATTTAGATTATATATATATATATAAAATATGATAGATATATAGATATAATATTAATAAATATTGTTAATATATTTCAAAAGGATTTTTATTATATTATTAGCATTTAA